CTCTTTTCCAGGTGCCCAAAGACCAAGTCCTTGACACTGTTTACCTGTTCCATATGCCTCGTAAACGTATGATTTCCCTGCGATTTCTTGCTTGGTACTTCCTAGGTGAGTTCTACCTTGTCAGAGCCCTGTGATACTCATAAGCAGGGAAGCCTGTTGGAGGGCCGTGTTATAGGAGTATCTTGAGTTAACAGTGAGAATTACTGTGCAGAGGTATGTAATTCCTTCCTTAAAGGGCAATCAGGATTATTGTTATTTCTGAGAGGAGAGATGGAAGGACAGGTTCCTGCCTTCCTTTGCCAGGTCCCCAACTTTTCCATCTCTACTTCTGCTAGACTTGAAGATTCAAGGGGAGACTCATGACAGTATTGAAGATGCACGCACTGCCCTTCAGCTCTACCGAAAGTATCTAGAGCTAAGCAAGAATGGCACTGAGCCTGAATCCTTCCACAAAGTGCTCAAGGGTCTTTACGAGAAGGGCCGAAAGATGGACTGGAAAGTCCCTGAGCCTGAGGGCCAAACAAGTCCGAAGAGTAAGCCCTGGGATAGGGCAGGGGAAACTGGACTGGGTAGGTTTACACTAATATATGGTGATTATATCCACCATAATGATGATGATGATGATGATGATGTTGTAATATATGATTACTACCTTGTACCTATAAAGCATTTAACAGTTTACAAAGTACATTATCCTTTCCATCAGTGAAAAAGATTCTCATATTGAAACTCTCACAAACTCCTTTTACCCAAATCTAAAATTGTATTTTTCTCTTTACATTTTGCCTCAGAGAGCAACCCAAGTGTTTCCTTCCCCCTGCACCACACACACATAACTTAGGGATTATGTTTTTTGTTTTGTTTCTGACAGATTCAGCTGTCTTCTCCTCAGTGCTGGCACTCTGACCAACTCTCTGTCTACAAAGCACTCCCTCATCCTCTAGTGCTCTGTGGCCCTAGACCTGGGAGATGGTGTCTCGAGTTGGCCACTCACTGACACAGACCTGATCAGGATCCACAGTTGGTGCTATAAAAAGAACTGGAATGAAGCAGAATTGCTGTCTAGAGTCTACAAACCAGATTCTTTCATCATCTTTGTGAAATAGTGGACCAGAAAGAAAGTCCACTATTTTGGCCCTGATGGAAACTGGTATAAGTAAACATCCTGGATCATTAATATCCAGATTAAGAAGAACCTGAAACCAAAACTTTCAGTTTCTAGCTGGCTGGGGACTAGAGTCCCGGACTGTGACAAGAGGATATAGCCGTAATTCAGGCCTTAGCTCAAGTCTTGACTGTCTGAGGAGCCAGCATGTTAATATTGGTGGCTCAGGTAAATCCAGTGTTGCCAACAACACCATTGCCAAAAGGGCCTTTGAGTCTTGGACCAAGCTTAGCTGCTGGCTTCCTGCCAACAGCCGAGAAGCATCTGTCTTCCATCTACTCTCCTACCCCAAATTTTCTTAAAGATTTTAAAAATTTTTGTCTTAAACTGCATGTTTCATAAAATAAAAACCAAAAGCACTATTGGCTATCATTTATCCCATCAAAGAACTGCTAGTGTGTGGTTCCCTGACCAGCCTTCCTCTCCAATTTCCTTTGTGGCGACTTCCTATTTCAGCTGGGAAAACAAAGCTTTTGTTTACATTCCCACTTGAAAAGGAAAGTAAATTTCTGGAGTATAAAGTTACGGATATTGGAGTAATAAAATGAATCCTTTTCTGGGCAATGTTAGAAGGATGACTTAGAGGGTTAAATGTTGGGCTGCTTTCTGAAAGGTCAGTAGTTTGAATACACCAGCCATTCAGGAAGAGAAAGATGAGGCAATCTCCTACAGTGATAGTTACAGCCTTGGGAACTTTATGAAGCCGTTTTACTATGATATTCATGGTTACTCACAGGCTATGTTAATTTCTTCCATAGAGCATCCTATATCTTGTCATTTACTAAGAAAGGACAATTTTTCTCCCATAGTTTTTTTATTTTGGGTGATTTTTGGTGGTGGTGTTTTGTTATGTTTTGGTTTTTTTTTTTAATGGGCTACAAAATACCCATCTCCTCAATTACCTTTATGAATGGCATATATGTCAATGTGTAGAAATAAGTATTTTGTTTGGTTAAAAGTAGCAAAAATGGCAGTCTTAAGACAGTTCTTACAAAAAGGTGTAACAAAGAGAATAAGATACTTTGGAGTCAGGTTTACTGGGAGGGACTTAGTTTTCACTGACTGTCTGTCATTTACTGTTTGTGATATAAATGCAGATAAACCTACATCAGTGAATGATTATCAAAGTTTAAAGAACATAATCCTGTTCCTTTCTTTTCTGTGGTCACTATGAGTCATACTCAATAGCCCATAACAGCAACCCATCCCATTTGTTGTGTACCATCAAGTCGGACCCGACTCATAGCTGACCCTCTAGCAGTTTTTCATAGGCAGTAAATTGCATTGGAGGAAATTACCAAATTTTTTCCCGCAGAGCAGCTAGTGGATTTTAAGTGTGTGCCTTTGGGTTGGCAGCACAATTTATTACCAAGCCACCAGAGCTTAGTCAGGAGATAGATTGCATTGGAAAAGTCTGCTGTCGGAGAACTCTCCAAAGTACTGAGTAACAGTGATGTCCATTTAACGATTTAAAGTGCAGCTAATTCAGGCACTTGCTATATGTCTAAGCTGGACAATGAGTAAAGATGACAGAAGAATAACTGATGCCTTTGAGTTGTTGAAGAAGAGTACAGAATATCCATCCCATGTACTGCCAAAAGAACAAACAGATGTCTGGAGGAAGTGCAGCCAGAGGGCTTCTCAGAAGCAAGGATGGTGAAACTTCATTTCATATATTTTGGGCATGTTTTGTGTACTGTGGAGTAGGAGCTGATCCATCAGTGGGTTTTCAGAGGCAGTAAATCACACGGAGGAGATTGTTCATCTTTGCCCCGCCAAGCAGCTGGTGGGTTTGAATCATGCACCTTTGCATTGGCAGTGCAATTTACTACTAAGCCACCAGGATGGGGGGGATGGGGCTCTAGTGGCTTAGTGTTAAGAAGCTGCGCTGCAATCCCAAAGGTCTGGGGTTTGAATTCACTGGGAGAAGTTTGTCTCTGAAAACCAGCCAGGTCTCACTCAGCCGCATACCACAAGACGCCACCAGGGGGAGCTCTCGTAGCTTCTTGTTAGGTGCCAAAGAGTCGAGTACAACTTATATGAACAGACCTGAATCCTGCTCTGCCCTATCCTGTACCATCTTCACCATCTCTGATAATCACTTAAGCCCTGTGATAAGGAATTGCGCTGCCAAAGCAAAGGTACACAGAACTCGATGGTACATAACAGGAGGGGCTATTTCTTGGGAAGGGACATCACACTTGGAAAGACAGGGGGGTCAGTGAAAGTGGGGGAGGGCCACAGCGAGATGGAGTGTGGCAGTTACTGCCTCAAGTCTGGAACAATGGGCTCGAATATGTCAGATGATGAGGATGGCACAGGATAGGACAGGATTTTTAATAGGGTTGACGCGGCAACAAGTGGATCTAGTGATTGGACGTTAAACTCTGAGAAATACAAAACACAATATAAGTTGATTTCTAACCAGATACAGGACCCTTCTTGTCATGTAGAACGCAGCTCTGGTGGCTTAGTGCTGGAGATGCGCTACCAACAACACAGGCAGTGTGAATTCACCAGCTGCTCTGGGGGGAAAAGATTGGCAATGTCCCATGCGTTTTATTGCCCCAGGAAACTCGGTGGACCGTTTCCCCATTAATCGGGATTGGGCTGACAAACTACAGGTCCCAGCATAGTTTAAGGCCTGTAGCTATTAACAAAGCTTGTCATTGGTGCAGCAGTGCATCCTGGGAGATGACGTTTTCTGTATATTAAAACCCTACTTCTTGCCAGTTAGCAGTGCACCTTCCGAATTGGAACATGTCACCCCACCTGCACTAACACACGTCCGTCCACCTCAACAGACGCCCCCCACATCTGGCCCAGCCCTCTCGCCAAGCCACTCCTCCGGCTGACCTCTCGCGGTCACGTGGAGCTGCTCGCCACGCAAGTCTGGGTCCTTCGGCCAGCGGACGGGGTCCTCGCTCCCTTGAGCTGCTTCTACGCTGCCTGTTCGGGAGAGCATTCGGAGGGTCGGGTTTGGCATCTGTGTGGCGTGAGGTTCCCAGAGCAGCACACTGGTGCCTTGTTTCGGCACGCAGTGTGCAGGGAGCTGGGTCAGGCGGCTACCGGGGCACCCCATCCCTGGAAAGCGCCTCCGCGCTCGGGAGACGCCGGGACAGCCACGCTACCCTCACCCCCCCAGCAAGGTGCTAGAGTTGGGGGGCTGGTGAAGCGACTGTGGGAGACCGGTTGTTTTACAAGCACCTGGGCCACCGCGGCGGCCCTGGGAGCAGAGGTGGGACCGATGCAGGCAGCGGAGGTGCCTGCCCTGGGATCTGGGAATGAACTGGAGTGAAAGCATTGATTGGTAGTCCATAGAAAGGGACTGGTCCGCATGGGAGATACCTTGTATTTGCACCTTGGCTATGCAGTTATTTTGCAGGGCCGGGGGCCCTACTTGCTGAGTTCCTTCCTCACCTGCCAGCCACTTCGTAGCTTCTCTCGGTTTGAACGTAAGAATTTAGACTTCTTGCCTGCAGCTCTTTTGTTTGGCGTCCTTACTTGTTAACCTGCATCCTGTAGCTGCGACATAACCCTGTAAGCCTTAGATAGTCCATGTTAAAGTACCACTATCTAGAACCTCACCTGTCAACGTACTCGATTGAAACCCAGGTCCTGAGCTTGTGCTCCCTCCCGTTCATTGCCTGGGGGAATGGAGGTCCTCAAAAGCACAGGAGCCACTTTGTGTTCGGGCCATTTCCTGAAAAATAGAGCCAGAATCACCCAGAAGGCTTTAAAGGCCTTGAGATTGGATTAGGAAAGGGATAGGGAGAAAAATTAAGTGGCCGTCCCTCATCATCTATGCTTTATTCCCACCCAAACCTAGGTGGAGCGACCCCGTTACGCTCAAGATGAAAGGCTGGGGTTGGCTGGCCCTGCTTCTGGGGGCTCTGCTGGGAACTGGCTGGGCTCGGAGGAGCCAGGATCTACACTGTGGAGGTAAAGGCACAAGGAGAAGTGAGGGATGGATGATGAGGAACCTGGACCCTTGAGAGGACATGAGATTCTAGAACTGGAAGAAGGACTGGTCAGATGCCAGAGTTGAACCCTATCCCTCAGTCCTCTCTCCACTTTTTTCACATTCTCATCTCTTGGACCAGCTTGCAGGGCTCTGGTGGATGAACTGGAGTGGGAAATTGCCCAGGTAGATCCCAAGAAGACCATTCAGATGGGATCTTTCCGGATCAATCCAGATGGCAGCCAATCAGTGGTGGAGGTAATTGTTACTCTTCTTCCAAATAAAGTAGCTCACCCTGGCTTTGAAATAGAGTTAAACTAATTAGGAAAGGCCTGACTGACCCAGAAAGCTACCTGATCATGGTGTTTCCTCTGCCAGGTAGAGATCAGGCTCTGTCTTCCTTGGAAGAAGCTGGGATCTATTCCTTACTGTTTCCTGGTTCCAAACCTTAATACTTGGTTTCTGTTGTAGAAATTATTGGCAAGTAAGGAGCCCTCATCAGTTCCCTTCTCCATGTACTTAACCTATGCAACTCATCAGGTTTTTATTATGACAGTCATTTAGTTATGTCATTTTAAAAAGAAATAGCTTACTTTATAATTGAGAAATTTATTTTAGTTTGAAACACACCACACACACACACACACACACACACACACACACACACACACACAAGCTGTAGTTAATAAGCACTATAAGGAGGATTTGTAAAATGCTTTGATAGTTCCTATCCTCAGAGTCTGATGGAGCTCTAGTGCCCTAGTGTTAAGAAGCTGCACTACCAACTCAGAGGCACGGGGTTCGAATCACGAGCTATTCTGAAGGAGAAAGATGGCCAGTTTCCTCTCATATGATTTATGCCTCTGAAAACTTGCTTCAGGGTCAGCTATGGGTTGGATCTGACTCACCAGCATATAACAACAATCCTCAGAGTCTACACTGTCTCTAAGCTTTCTTATCGAAGACAGGTATTAGTTTTAATCTAACATGAATAACATTACCTAACATCCATAAATGCTAGGGGGATTCAGGGGAAAGAGCACAGGGTTGACTAAAAGAGATCTGGTGATCTATAATGCAGAGCTAATAAAGATGGATATATTACTTCTTAGTATAATGAGGTATAGTATGATCATATTTTCAAAGTACAACATAGCTAAACTATACCGTTTTTAATTAGGGAAGGCTTTTTAGAAAAGGTTAGTTGAGCTAGATTTGGAAGGAAAGTGAGGACATAAATTACTAACGTGTAATCAAGGTAGAAGATGATGATGACCTAAGGCTAAGGACATTTCTAGGTGCCTTATGCCCGCTCAGAGGCCCACCTCACAGAGCTGCTAGAAGAGGTATGTGACCGAATGAAAGAATATGGGGAACAGATTGATCCTTCCACTCACCGCAAGAACTATGTACGTGTAGTGAGCCGGAGTGGAGAATCCAGTGAGCTGGACCTACAGGGCATCCGAATTGATTCAGACATCAGTGGCACTCTCAAGTTTGCGGTGAGCTGTGGGAATGGGTAGCTGGTTTTGGGAGGTTGAGGTTGCCACGGTCCTTGTCCACCTCTCTGGAAGCTGAGTCAAGAGGTCTCTTCTGCTGCCCTTTCTCGCTTATTTTTCTCTTGAATTGACAGTGTGAGAGCATTGTGGAAGAATATGAGGATGAACTTATTGAATTCTTTTCCCGAGAGGCTGACAATGTTAAAGACAAACTTTGCAGTAAACGAACAGGTGAGTTACCCCAACTTTGCCCCCAGCATTCACAACCCTATAGAACCTAGTCCATGCTCTAGCTCCTTAGAAGTCAAATATTAGCTCAAGAGTTGGCATCAGGACATGGGCTCTCTATTCTTTTTCTGTCAGATTTCATAATTTGTGGTTCCATGACCTAAACTATAATTGAGAAGGTGTGGTGGGGATATCCTGTTATTTGTAAAAATATGCCCTGAAAAATGGTGGTTGGTGTGCCAGGTGATCTGGGGTATTCTTTTGATAGTGACATATTATCAGAATGAGAGTGACATTCTCTTTCAAATTGTTATGTGCTGTTTTCAGATTTATGCGACCATGCCCTGCACATATCTCATGATGAGTTATGAATCACTGGAGCAACCTAGATGGACAGGCTTGATGGATCACCCCCAGGAGGGGAAGAGGGTGGCAATGCCTTTTATATTATGTTTTTACTGAAATGAACTGGAAAAATAAGGAACTAAAAGTATAAACTGTCTTGTCTTTCATGTCCAAATTGATACATTATTAGGCTTGAAGATAGGGGATTCCAGACAGGGGAGGGAAGGAAGCTTATCAAGGTTGGTATAGAACAAAAGCAGGAGCTTTAATTCTTCTATCTTCTCAGATTCCCACTCCATTAATTAACTGGATAAGCAATTATTCAGTGCCTATTTAATACAGTATACTTAGTGTCTGAATAAGAGGAATGTCTGAATAAAGATGCATAATTGTAATAACAGGAGTCTAGAAAGTCCCTGTGCTCATGCCAATAAACATAAAGTAAGGGCTTGATCTTGAAGAATTAATGGGCATGCATTATTCTTCCCTTCCTACCCTTGCAGATGTAGGGAACAGCAAGAGCAGAGACAGGAAGGGGAAAATGGATGTGACCAACTCAGCTGGAAAGTAGGGGCTTTGTCGGATAGGGAAAGATGAGGTAAGGAATGTTATTTCACGACAGGCCTTGCTTGCTGGCCTAAGCTTTTCAATTTGATGCCAATGGTAAGAATAAAATTTGTCTTTCATATCTTTATCAGTAGCCCACTGTCAATCTGGATTATAATTCTATTCCCACTTTTTGTGTGTAGAGAACCTGTACTGCTACATAGGACTGAAAATCTAAAGGATACCTTCTTTTGGGAGTTCTTAACACCCTGATTGATGCCAAGGTATGGCTTGAGGGTTTAGACTATTATATCTCTGCCCAAGAATACCTCTGGAAGAAAACAACTGAAAAAAATACTTCAAAGACTTAAAATTACAGTGCTGAATTTTAGAATATAAAGGGACCTGAAAGGTCATCTAATTCCCCTTTGCCCATTTTACAGAGGAAGAAACAGGCTGAGAGAAACCATGGACCCTAACATTTTGTACTTAGTGCCCAAACTGGATTTATAAGACAACTTTCCCAAGTCCTAGTCTTATCTGTTATACTATAGAGTACCTTCTCCTTTTATTCCTCTTAATAATACCTTGATGATAATAAATGACTATATTCAACAAAGCCTTCTTGTATTACAAATCCCTAAGAAATCCAGACTATTACCTAGCTCAGAGCAAGCACAGATTTGTAGATCTCACAGCAACCCCTAAGAAGTGCTGCATCATATTAAATCAGTTTTCCAGACTGGCTATTAAAATTTTCCTTTTATGATGCACGTGAGTAATGTTCATACTCTTCATACCTTTTTGAGTATATCTAGGCATATCTCTCTTGCATTCTTGGCATTAAAACACTTCCTTTTCAATCAGAAGCTTATCAAAAGTGTAAATTAACTTTTATAGGAAACTTGAGGCAGTTTATTGGAATGCTAATTATTTATAGATTTAAATGATATTGCAAATAATCAGTTCATTGATAACACATTATTTTTCCTCATCTACTTTCTAAACAACATGCCTCCAGAAACTATGAATTTTTATAAATGTCGATAGTTGTAGGGGGGCTTCAGGCCTTTTGTTCATAGGGTTGCTATGAGTCATGCTTGACTCAAAGGCAATCAACAACAACAACAACAGTTTGTCAGGGTACAGCTATTAAGTCTCCAGCTTTGCTTTTACAATCTTTGTCACAGATATACCTGAGTGCGTCTTCCATAAGAAAGGGTGGAAATTTTCTCCAAGGACATGAGCCTCAAAAGGTCAGGAAGATACACTTTGTGCATCTCTTAATCCATATCACAGGTTCCCATAAGGATTCCTCTATGAGGTCTCCAAATCCTTCGGGAAGCTCATGATATTATAAATCACTCTAGCTCAGTGTTTATGTTTAGATAACCTTGCAAATTTGGTTACACTTTAAGCTAGATGTTTCCTAAATCAGTTTATCCTTAAAGTATAAACATTCTCAAGGATAGTATTAAATGAGATCCAAATTTAACTAGGAAAATGTATTTTGTGTCAATCTAGTCCTTTAAAAAGAAACTTTAGAGGATTTTTTACTGTTTAAAAAAAAGATTAACAGATTAAATAAAAAGAATTCACAGCATGGGTAAAATTCTTTTTAATATAAGACAAATATTAATTACAATTCTGTCTTATATTGAATTCCCATATAACAAGTGCATACACGTTCTCATTTAATCTCAATAAATAGTCATTATTTTCAGTCTCTGGATGCCAAAAATAGTTAAGCATTTGGCTATTAGCCAAAATATTGGTAGTTCAAATATGTCCAGAAACACTTCAGAAGACAAGCCTGGCTATCTGCTTCCAAAAGGTTATATCCTTGCAAATCCTAGAAAATGGTTTTTGTTGCAGACCAAGGGTCCCAAAGAATGAAATAATTTTATAATTATTAATAATGAGACAGACTACCAGGAATGATACAGAACAGAGAGTGTGAAAAACAGGGGGCCAACAGTTCCCATGACTGAAGGCCCCAAGCCATGCTTCTCAGAGTAAAAATCATAAGGAAGTACAAAACAAAACAAAGGATAATGGTGAAGTCTTTTACCGATAAGGCCAAGTTGATACAAACTAAGAACAATGTTAACTCTTAGGGAACACCTTAGTGCCACAAGGTGACCTTCAGCTTGTATTAAGCCTCCCTCATTTCCTGATATAGCATTTGGTCTACTATTAGTAAATTTGATATTCGGCTTCCCTCAGGTTCTGTTCTGTCAGAATCAGAATGGGTTAACAACATTCCTATTTTACAAATTAACCTAAGCTCAAAAAGAGAACTATGATTTCAGCCTCAATGATCTTCCTATTCCCAGGGTAGTAGTCTTTCTGCTACACTTTACTTGTAGTGGAGTATCCACGTAATCACCTATGGCTGTATGAACTACACCCAACTTTGAAGACATGCCCTCAATTCTAGTATTTTGAAGTGAAAAATTCTATCCTCTCCAACTATGTTTCTAGAGTAGTCATTCCTTTTAAGAAGTCCATTCTAGCAGTGAATGAATGGAAATCCAAAATCTCTGTAAATGCTCATTAAAATTATTAAAAAAAAAAAGACATCCCTGGGGGGGGGTGGCGGGCAGGAAAGATGTCCATTCTATCCCTCTGGTCATTTTAAGGGCCAATCGTGTTTCAGGTAGGAAATATACAAAGGTTTTATGGGTGAGTAAGACCCATAAAACACAGCCAGACTACTCTTTTAAAAAAAATGGCAAGACTTTATCTTAGATACTTTGGATATGTTATCAGGAGGCACTTATCCTGGAGAATGGCATCATGATTGGTAAAGTGATCCATGATCTATAAAAAAGAGTAAGATTAAATAGAACGGATTAGCACAAGCAACAGTGAGCTCAAACACAGAAACAGGTGTGAGGATGTGTTTCATTCTGTCTTACATAGGGTTGCTATGAGTCAGAACAGTGAGAACCAACATAAGGAACCAAACAAGAAGACTAGTTCCTTATCTTTTTTAAAATCTTTATTTATTTATTTATTTATTTAGTGTGAGTGTGTGTGTGTGTGTGTGTGTGTGTGTGTGTGTGTGTACCGTCAAATTGGATCAGACTGGTACAGGAGGCGATTGTTCCTCCTTCTTCAGCAGAGCATCTGGTGGATTTGAACCACGCACGCACCTCTGGAATTGTAGTGCAGTTTCCTGCCACTAGGCCACCAGAGCTCGCCGTAGTTCCTTATCTTTTAAAATATCTTTAAATATGTTGCTGTTCAGTGCTTTTGACTTAACTACGACTCAGAGCAACCCCAGTGAACAACAGATTGGAACTTTGCCCTATCCTGTACTATCCTCACGATCTCCAGCATGCTCAAACCCACTGTTACAGTCACTGTGTCAATCCATCTGTTGAGGGCCTAGCAACTTTAAATATATTAAGTTGTTACCCCCAGAAAACAATGACTCAAAAGCCCCTTTCTAGAGTTGCAGCTGACAAGTCACAGTTCATCACCTTATATAAAAAATACAGCTTGGTAAGTAGTTAAGATTTAGTCTTTGAGGAGCTCTGGTGGCCTAGTGGCAAGAAACTAAGCTGCAATCCCGAAGATGTGTGGTTCTAATACACCAGATGCTCTGCTGGAGGAGGAGCAGTCTCTTCCTGTGCCAGTTGGATCCAATTCAAGGCACACAAAAAAGAGATTAGTCTTTGAATTGACACAGCCTTTGAGCCTATATTTGATAATGCCAACTATGAGCTATATGTACCTTGGTTTCTTTCCTCTTTTTAAAGTAAAGACTCTATTATCACCTACATCCCTTAGAACTTTTGTGACTATTAATAAATTAATCCATATAGCACATTTAAGTATTATGTGCAAATAGCAAGTACTAAATTAATTCTAGCTATTAAATATAAGCATTTGGGTTACTGGTATGGACAGTTGGGCTGTGCTGCTAACCCAAAGGCTACACGTCTCTGGCACCTCAAATCTACCAGTAGCTTCCCAAGAAAAAGATAATCTCCTCTGAAGAGATTTACACACAGCCCCAGACCCCCAGCCATGAGTAGGTTCAGACTTGGATATTGCATTCCCCTACTTATCTCTGGCCTGCCACAAGGGGGTACCAATGCCCCTGTTCATGTTAAAGTGATTCTTCCAAGGTCAAGATGACCTCAGTACTTGACATTTTCCCCTGGCCTCTTCCAGTTCTGAGGCACTTACTTGTATTTGAACTTATAGCTCATTTGACTGCTTTGCCCACGGCAATCTTTCAATCTTCCTCCCTTCATTTTCTCCATACTTTTCCATGTCCCATCAATATTCAGAAAGAGATTCCAAGCTAGTTTCTAGAAGATCTCAATCAATTTCTTTGGTCACTGGGCTTTCTAATTGGCCAACTTCAAGAAAGGCCATAAAATATTATAATGTTAGGCTTTGGGTCACTGTGTCAAGATACTTAGAACCTTGCTTTTCCCCACATTCTCTTGAATGACTTCTTGATGCTGTTGTATGCCATGGAGTCAAGTATGACTCATAGCGACTCTGCACAACAGATCCGAATCCTGCCCTATTCCATACCTCCTCATCATCTCTGATTCACTTGAGCGCATTGCTGTCCAAATACAAGTAAGTGCCTCAGAACTGGAAGAGGCCAGGGGGAAATGTCAAGTACTGAGGTCATCTTGACCTTGGAAGGATCACTTTAAAATGAACAGGAGCATTGGTGCCCCCTTGTGGCAGGCCAGAGACAAGTAGGCGAATGCAATATCCAAGTCTGAACCTACTCATGGCTGGGGGTCTGAGGCTGTTGTGTAAATCTCTTCGGAGGAGATTGTCGTTTTCTGTCAATGCATGTCGTTGAGGGTCTTCCTCTCTTTGGCTGATCCTCTACCCTTCCCAGCATGTTGCCCCTTCTAGCCACATGTCAGAAGTATGTAAGCGAAAGCTTAGTCACCCTTGCCTCTAAGGAGCACTCTGGCTGCCAAAAACAGGAAGGACCTTCAACAAGGTAGACCCTGTGACAACATTTGGCACAAGTACAGCTGTGATTACAAGGAGTCAACAAGATAGACCAACACAATAAATGCAGTATTTGGCTCAAACACAGTGGTGATTATAAGGATAGACCATGGCCAGGCAGTGTTTTATTCTATTGTATAGAGGGTCAGTATAAATTAGAGCAATCTCAGTAGCACCAAGCAACAACAACATAGGCCACCCAATAACTGTCATTTTGGTAGCCTCATGCTGATGATGCCACCTGTCGCTTGGGGCAAAGAAGTTCAGTCCTCTGATCTGTTGGGTAGTCTCTGTAGATAATTAACCAGAGGGAAGATGCCAGGTCAGACTAGTCTAGGGTTACAGAGGAATTCCTTTGTGAGATGCTAAATTGGGAGCAAATGCTGATCAATAGCTCTTTGAAGTCACCGACAGGGTAGCTGAGGTCAGTTTTTCCTCTGAGCGTTGCTTGGGTTCTTTTTATAGAGTGCTTTCCTGAAACCCCCTGCCTGCCTCATCTGATTCCCAAGCCAAAGATGCATTGGTTGGTAAGCATGAGACTGTTTATTAGAAAGCGTGGGAAGATAAAATGGAAGGAGTTTCCCACCCACCCCCATCTAAGTTATAAACTAGGTTGGAATTAATGCAATCAGAGTATCTGTTAGAAAATGAGGATAATGAGAAGTCATCATGGTTGGTAGACGATTGTTGAAAAAGAGGATGACCCTTAACAAAATGTATTGACATTGTGACTGCAAAAAATGGGCTCAAGCATAGCAGTAATTAAAGGATGATCGAGGACCCCCTTTGTTCTATTGCTGAGTTAGAGCCAATTTTATAGCACTTACCCACAATATATAAACTAAGTGTTAAAACTTATGTGGGTACTGTGACCTCTGAACCTTATGTAAGGAAATAAAGAGACTGTTCACTTGAGGCCTGGAATTTATAGATAGATAAGGTTTTCTGGTCCTTGAGTCAAGGACAATGATGGCTATAGGGAGGTGGCAATGTCCTAACATCTTGTTCAGCCAAAGGGATTAGTCACTCTAGTGCCATAGGTCATTCAGTGGTCTCTGGAGAGCACAGGATAAGAAAAGTTATGCCAAAAAAAAAGAAGAAAGGTGGGGGGGGAGCACATACCATAGCCAAGTAGGAGAAGGAGCCCAAAGGGCTTTTGAAAGTAATGGAACAAAGAAAGGGTACTTCAGTGCCTCATTTTGAATATGGATTAATCTGCAGCTCCGGACCTTGTACACGAGGTGATCTGTCTACATACGGTGTGTAACTGGAGGCCTTCATGTTAAGGGGGCACTTTAAAGACTTCGATTTCCTGGTACTAAACACAGAACCCTTAGAAAGCATTGGGTATTCAGTTCTCACACATTGGGATCTGTTAGTTTCTCTAATACCATGGCCTCTGCTGACCTCCAGTGATCTGTATTAGGCAGCTAACTGGTATCACTGCTTTTGGTCCATATGTCAGCTCCATATGCATGGAGTCATTAACTACATTTTTCAAGATACCATGTCAAGGGAGTAAAAGGGACAGGCAGTGATATATTAAGGGAGTGACTTCCATTAACCTTCAGTGACTGAGGTAGATAGGATTTTACTCTAATATATACCTTAAAATTAACCTTAAAAAAAAAAAATTAACCTTAAATATACTAAGGGGAAAAGCCGAAGAAAGTTAACTGAGTTCTCAGGCACTTACTTAGCCACCTACACGATCTCCTGCCTCCACTCCTTACTCTTACTAGCCGAATCGGGCACTCCAATCCTCCTCTCCATAACCGCTGACACCGGCTCAGGCCCCGCCCCACCTGCACACTGAACCAATGATCTTGAGATGGGCGGGATCCAGCACGGTGCAATAGGCGGGGCCTCGCTGAGGACCCCAGGCTGGGCGCCGCCGCCGGTTTATCTACCCTTTCCCTCAGCCGCCTCCTTTCAACCTTGTCCACCCGTCCGGCGCGGCCTCTGGTGTAGCGGCGGCGGCTCCCATTTGTGCCTCAGCTCTCTCCCCTCCCTCCCTACCCGTCAGATCCTCGCGTGCGCCTGACATGGCTTTACTCACTGCGGCAGCCCGGCTCTTTGGAGCCAAGGTGAGCAACTAAGGGAGAGCGCCGTCCTAGGGTGGGGCTGAAGCGGCCGCGAGGCCCTCGCGCTCCGGGGTCTCCCTCCCCCATTCCTACGCACCCCAGCGCGCCTTAAAGGAGCAGAGCGTTTGGCAGACAACCAGCCCTAGCGGAGCTCTGGGGGCCATGTGCTGCCTTGGCCTTCCTCCTTCTGGGTGCTGTCCACTTCTGGCATGTGGTTCACCTCTGACATGTCCGAGACGAGTGGGGAGGCTGGACCCTCTTGTCACCCTGCATGGCTAGGGTAGAAGAGGGTGGGGATGCACGGCCCACGAAAAAGGCACCAAGACCAGAGATGCCAGTAAAAAGAAAAAGGGAGGGGGAGGTGTATATTCTATTAGAATTGGACAGAGACCCTGATTGGAGGAGGGGGCGGGGGGGGGCAGGAATGAACAGAGGTGGTCACTTTGTCCTTGGGTGAGAGTTGGAGAGGTGTCTAATTCAGCTTCTTTGTAGAGAGGGGCTTGTCCATTTTGGAACTCCCACCAGTTTACTTTTTCTCCAGCCACCATTATTTAAACCTTTAGTGATCAAACCACAGTAAGTTCTGCTAGACGGATGAAAATCTCATTTGCCCTTGAGCCTCTTGGACTATTAAGGAACTTGGGTGGAGTGGAATATTAATTGTCAAACGATGATCACATGTGATTAGCCAAGGCTTCAGACAGAAACTGGAGGCCGGTAAGTGAAGATAGTAGGAGATAGTGTAGCCAAGGTTACAGGACTAGTCTTAAAACTTCCCTTACCCAGGTTTTGCTGCAGCTACTATGTCTACTGTAAACCAGGAGAATTTCCTCTCATTTTTTGAGATGCTTTAATTGACATTAGTTCCCTTTTCGATAGTAAGAATATTGTTCTGAGTACTTATTGTTCTCAAGTTACCAGGATTATTAGCTCTAACTTGATCCATTAAAGAGAAAAACTGCTCTGCTGTGTGAGTTAACAGCCCTCTAACCCAAGCAGGGATGACCTTGACTGCTACAAAGAATTTTTCTTCTGCAGATTAAAGCTGCCAACACCAGAGGCAAACAAAGGGTTTTAAACTGTTTTTAGCATGCTATGTGTTATCTTGCATGATTGAGAAAAAGGGGAAATCTCTAGTTTATCTTTGGCACCCCAAAGTGAGGCTGGTCATTTGGGAGATACTTGTCTTACTTGGCTGTTGGTTCTCTGGCTGCCAGGGAGCAGGGAAAGGAAGCCTCTTGGGACATGAAGCAAGTTCTAGATAGTGTTTTGGCAGAATAGGGGGCACTATAATTAGCTCATTCCAGTGCTGTTAACCCTACAGTGAGTTTGAAAAAGCCCCGAGAATTTACCTTTTGAATTTATTTTTTTCTTTTAAGACACTAGAAAAGCCCAGAAAGCATTTGGGATGACAAGGATACAGAATCTTGCTATCATTATTGTTTCATTTACTTCATTCTTAAGCGATAGAGCCCAGAAACTTATAAATTAGAAGCAATGGTGGATTTCTTAGTAAGCAATATAAGCATGAACTTATTTGTGTCTATTTCCTATTCTGTAGAGAACAGTGTCATATGTAAGCCCTTGTGTGCCTTGCTTATTGGCTGAACTATCTCTCTTGGGGATCATAAATTGAAAAGGGGCTTTGATTGAGTAGGAAGGTGCTATGGGGTTGGGAGAAAGAAAGAAGCCAGCCATACCTAGAAGCAGAATCTTTCCTGTGATGAAAAAAACATAAAATTACTCATTATAGGTTAGTAAGCAAACACAAATAAACCTATACTTACTGTGTTTATTGGGTGATCCAAAAGTGAAGCCTTTAGAAAACATTTGACCCTAAAAACGTAACAAAGCCCCACAAACTCAGAAGTGGAAATTTCCTGAAAACTGAGCAATATGGCTAGGATACCAATAGGCTTTATAGCATTTTTTAGTTTTCCAGATTAGGATGCTGATTGTTAGTTGAGTTTACATTCACTATTAAAAATACCTGGCAGTACAATGGGTTAAAATTTACAGCCCAGGAGACCTTATGGAACAAATCTACACTATCCTGTAGGAACTCTGTGAATTGGAATCAACATGATGACGGTAGGTAGTGGGTTAAGGCACAGTATCTTTCTGGCCTACGAGAACTAATCCATACTGTTTAGATTACATACAGGTGTTGTTAAGTGTCCTTGAGTCAAATACAACTCACAGTGACTGTGAGCAACATATCTGAACCCTGCCCTATGTTGTGCCATTTTCATCATCTCTGAAAGAAAAGCCATTGCTGCAGTCACTGTCAATACATCTGCTTGAGGGTCTTCCTCTTTTTCATTAATCCACCACCTCTCCAAGCATAATGTCACTCTCTCCTAGCAACTTGCCTAAAGTATGTTAGATGAAGCTTTGTCATCCTTGCCTCCAAGAACAGATACAGTTTTACTTTTCTGAGAAGTATTCTTTGTTTGGGTGCTGTTGGGATTTTTTTGTTTTGTTTTGGGGTTTTGTTTGGGTTTTTTGTTTTAAGAAACCTTTCTGGAAAACAAAAATGCTAGCCATTGTTCTAGTGTTCTAACTTTCTTGATGGTGAACATCTGAGTTGGCTAAACTAATTCAGAGCCTTGTTTATTTGAACTGTTGACTAAATAGTGATCTTTTTTTTTTTAAATTTTTATTTTATTATTTTTGTGTGAGTATACCGTCAAATCAGATCTGACTGGTACAGGAGGAAATTGTCCCTCCTTCCCCGGCAGAGCATCTGGTGGATTCAAACCATGTGCCTCTGGGATTGTAGTTGCAGCTCCTTGCCACTAGGCCACCAGAGCTCCCCTAAATAGTGATCTTAATATTGGCTATGATATTAAATAGAGTAACCCTAGG